CACACACACACACACACACACACACACACACACACACACACACACACACACACACACACATGCATACACAAACACACACACAAAAAAAAGAAGTCTCTCAGATTCTCGGGGACTGCGGGGATGAGAAGGGTTTTTAGTCCCAAGAATATGCCAACAAGGTTGGAATAAAAAAGGAAAAAAAAAAAAAAAGCCCGTAGGGTTGGAGTGGTTTGTCAAGCTGGTCCAGATCAAACTCACAGACTGGCTAAGGTTTAGGTCTTTGAAAACACACACACACACACACACACACACACACACACACACACACACACACACACACACACAAACACAAACACACAAACACACAAGAACACAAAAGGACACAAAAAGGTGTAGGTCTTACGTGTGCCCTCGGTATACCTTTGCGGTAGAAGGGCAGAACAGATGGGGAGGATGAGGGGATTGAGGCCTGCCGATGTCAGAATGGGAAACAGGTAGACGAAAGCTGCTCGACTTATAGAGCAGTGTTTGTAGCACCGTCTTCCCCCGAACATAACGACCCTGATAATGAAATGAAGATTAGTCTTGATGAAGGCGCATTGTGTTTGGGGGATGACGGTAGTTAGGAAAAACAGATTATAATTAAGGCGTGCAGTCGTTAAACAGGATAGACTAGGAGTGGGGGTGTTGTTGGTAGCTACCATCTTCACCCGAACACAAGGCACCTGCGTTGTGACTTTATCGAACCAGAAAGAGAACTTGCATACATTCATGATCAGGGTGCATTCTGTTTGGGGGAAGAAGGGCTAGGAGTAGGCATTTTTTCGTTCTTTTCCTTTTCATCAATTCTGTTGTCTGTATAAAAATACTATAACTTCATGTTCGACTCCCTGGCCAGTAGATGCGGAGCCAACCCAAAGCCGGGTAATGAATGGTCCCATTTTTGTTTTCTTTTTTTTTGTTTCAACATTTTGTGAGGCTTCAGGACTCTGTGGCACCCAAAAGGGGCCGCCTGTAGAAATGTGACGCAGACCTAAGTGACGGCTGGGTCTGTTAAATGCCCCCAGGCCTCTGGCCCTCTGGGGAGGCTGGCATGAGGCAGTTGGAAGTAAGGCTGGGCGCAGCCTCTCGAACTAACTCGTAGGCCCAGCCACCCAGCTAGTTGCAGAGGCTGACGACCCGGTACCCAGTCCAGAGGGTTCTCAGACTGGGAAGAGCCCAGTCCCAGCCAGGCAGCAGCAGCCTCCTGGAAGCACCAATAGGAGAGGAGGCCACAGCATTCTACACGTTCCGAGGCACTGGCTGCCAGCGCTTTATGTGCTCCTCTCACTGGATTTCTCGTTTTCGGACCCCAAACAGCAGTTAGGGCCTCGCCACACAGGCTTTCGAAACGTGAAAACGACAAAAATGTGCCAGGCGCATCTGGCCATGTTCTAGCGGCAAGTTCATTCTCGTTTTGCACATTTCGACAGCCTGTGTGGCGAAGCCCTTAGACCCCGGAACTATACAGTATGCCCTGGAATACGAAACGATGATGGAACAGACTTTACAACAACTTCAGAAATCGCAACGGGCAATGATAGACTCAGAAAATCAGCGCAAACGGGTATCCAGTACTGTCCACGTTCGAGGTAGGTGATTAAGGTCACAGGTTAGGTCATCAGCATTCACGCCAGAGCAGAACCCATCACGAAAGTTATTCTCAGAATATTTCAGTCCTTTGCCTGTCTTAAACAATGTAGGGAACAATCATGACACCCCCCCCACCCCCGTGATTGATGTTCCGCTGCATCTTCCCGCTTACCCTGTCTTTCACGCATTCAAACTCTTGCCATATAGACACAGCCCTCAGTTTCCTTCCCGCAGATGGATGTTGCCCCCAACCATGAGCGAAGGTCTGGTCAACATTGATCGAATTGTGGAGGACAGAGTAATGCCTATGCAGAAGCCACGGGACAGCAGAAGACGACCCAAGCCACGAATGCAATGGACAGTGGCTTTCAAGGGTGGAAATGACCCCAAAGAAGATTGGTCGTTTACAAAGGGAGCCCCTCAACCGGTTCTACACTGTGAAAGAGCTCTAAAAAGGAAGCAATGGCTGAAGATTAAGCATTTTACAGAGGGCTATGAAGTAGTATGAACCTAAGGGGGTGATAATGTGCGGCTTCAGGCCTCCGCGGCGCCCTAAAGGGGCCGCCTGTAAACATGTGACCCAACCCTAAGTGAAGGTTGGGCCTGTAAAATGCCGCCAGGCATCTGGGGAGGTTGGCAAGAGGCAATTGCGAGTAAGACTGGGCACAGCCTCTCCAACTATCTTGTAGGTCCAGCCTCCCAGCTAAGTTGCAGAGGCTGACGACCAGGTACGCAGTCTGGAAGGTTCTCAGACTGGGAAGAGCCCAGTCCGAGCCAGTGGCGACCACACAGTAGCGCCCTCCTGGAAATAACAAAAGGAGAGGAGGCCGCAGCATTCTATACATTCCGAGGCACTGGCTCACAGCGCTAGCTGTAAGCCCACGCAGCCAGAACCTGGGCATTGACAAAGGAGAAGAGGAGGAATAGCCACGAGTATCTGCTCTGCTTGGTGGTAGCCATAGCTGCCCCAAGAAGGAAGAAGGTGACGCTGGGGCTGGAGTGATCAGGGGAGAAGGACAGCGGTGGGAACAGGCGGACTTACCTGATGATGGCCAAAGAGCACACCCAAGGTGGTTAGACACTGCAGCATTGTTAGGCGAGAGGAGAGTGGACAGAGAGAGTGTGCAGCGCGTGTGCACGAGAGAGAGAGAGAGAGAGAGAGAGAGAGAGAAGTAGGATGTGTATAGGGAGTGAGTAGGAGAGTAGTTTGGTCACATCATAGGAGAGCTACTACATTGTGGTTGTAGTTATGAGTGGAGGCGAGAATTTGGCTTTCATTAACGAGAGACTTTGGTGTTAGTGTGTACTCATTTGGTGTGCTCTTGGCTTTGTAATTCTGCTTCTGCTCTCGACTTTGCTCATATATGCTCGTTGTACTTTGGGTCTTGAAAAAAGCTACGCGGAAAATTTGTGTTCTCATTGATTGATTCTTTGCGATTTCTCCCTACGGAGGAGGGGGCATGCAATCTTCTCCTCTCTATATCGTTCCAATTTCAATGGATGTCCTGGAGGACCCAGTATGTTTCGCTGGGGTGAGGTCCCATTAGCAAAGAGGATTGGATCCAATGCCTGGATCAGAATCAGGACGTGTTTGTAGAGCGCTGCAGAAATCGCGATTGATCTGCTTTTCTGCATCTCGGCATAAAACACTTCCAGGTTCAGGCGCTTAGTCCAATCCTCTTTGCTACAGAACTTGCTGCAAAACATCACTCATCATACTTGTTTTTCTTTTTTTTTTGGCGAAAGAAGGTAGGCGACCACTTGTTCGTCGCTTATAGCTTTTTGCCTCACAGAACTTGCCACAAAACATCAATCATACTTTTTTTTTTTTTTTTTTTTTTTTGGCCAAAAAAAGGWMGGCGGCCACTTGTTTGTCACTTCGGTTTTTGCCTCGCAGAACTTGCCGCAAAACATCAATCATCATACTTTTTTCCTTTTTTTTGGGGGGGGGSGGGGGCAACATCAGGTGCGGCTCGCCTATTGCGGGGGGGGGGGGGKGATAAATCACACTTTTGTGTTTTTTTTTCTTTAAAAAAAAAAGCTGATGGCCTTGGGATATCTTCATCCATCTGACGGCTGTAGGTAATTCAGAACAATATAATTCCATTCATCAAGGTCCATCCGGATCCTAACTCCAGTGGGTATTGCAACAGCTCGGTGCAGGAAAAAAATCAGACTTTTCTTTTTCCTTTTTTTTTGTGCGTGGGGAACCAGCCATACCTTTTTAAAAAACTGCAAACGAGAAATGTAGTTGAGGCCAGCGACCTCACAATTCCACCCGGGGCCAATTCCCACCGGCGGGGTAGAGCTCCCAAATCGGGGACGTCCACTATGTGCGACTGCTTTTCTCACCATGGATTCGGTTGGGATGCAATGTGCCCAGTCGTGATAATCAGTCGTCACTCGCAAAGACAAAATAGACGAACGCTGCTGATAAATCATAATAATAATGATCCCAAAATGAGAGAGAATGCATACACAGACGAGAGAGGGAGGAAGAGTCTCCTCCCTACAGCCCACTTCCTCTTCGGGCACTTCCTCCTCCTAGCAGCATAATCGTGTCTCAATCAGAGATCCGGACATCCAAGACAATGTAGTCCAACAGTGCCACGTGGCACCAGCAGACCAGTCATCAAGCAGCAGCGTGACGACGAAGTTGAAGACACCAGGTACGTATCACGACCCCAACCACAGTCCTGAATCCTCCTTCAGGGTACTTGTCAAGCAGAACAGCAATACAGGCGCCCAGCGCCTTCCACCTCAGCAGCAATACTACGTGGCAGCAGCCACGAAGATGACACGTGGCATCTGCGACGTCGACAACCCCTCAGACAGTAGTGCGCCAGCCAGCATGCTGGTCGCACAGCACACTCCAGCCACGAACCAGCGACGAGCGCTGGTCGTCAAGTTCTCCCCGCAGCGTCTCGCCAGCAAGACAGCATAGAGCCGGCGTTGACGCGAGAGCGTCGAGTCCCCATAGACTCCAGACGAGAGTCTAGATGTCAAAGCCAGGAAGTCAGCCCAATATGTAATGTTGACGGCGGGGTCTGGGCCCCAGTCCTCAAGTCAGACACGGCCGAGATCGGTTGTCGTCGACGGCCTGGATTGAGTTGAAACTGTATCCTCCTTGGTCCACCGTTCTGACTGGGTACCTGCACACATACAAGTCAATGCACACGACCAAGGGCCTGGGCGAGGTACCTGGACCTACAGTTCACTTTGACCTTTGAATTTCTTGTTGTGCGTGGTCACACAGCACCCGCAGCGGCCTGAGGCCAAGCAGCGCGTGGTCGCACTGCTCGCTGGGCCTGGGCTTGGGTTACAGCGCCCAGGCCGCTGCTGGACGCGGTTTACTGCGTTCCTGCCGGCCCGAATTCGAGTTCCACCGCAGAAATACTTAAGACTTCAGTCCGCGTTCATAGCTAGCAACAATATCAGGGGCAGTATCCATCAGTTCCCGTCTGCTAAACCAACGGTCTTCAGAGGCATCTTGGAACTGGAATCTCACTTTATACTGCTTCTGAGGTCTGCCTCTTCCACCAGTAGAAAAGAATCCATGGTCAGTAATTTTCTCAACCACATAGCTGCCATTCATAGAAGGAGGTATGGCAGATGGTCGGTGAGGAAATTCTGTTCCTTCTACATATGGAAGCAGTTTAGACGCGTGAAAGACGGGGTATGTCCGAAGATGAGGGGGAATGTCAATCCGGTATGATGGTCCATCGACATCCCCTATCACCTTAAGAACTTCCCAGGGTCCTAGATAGACAGGCATCAGTTTCTGAGAAACATCCTCTTCTAGAGTGAACTCTTTGGACTTACCCCAGACCAAGTCACCAACTTGAAAAGTAGACGGGCGTCGGTGTTTGTTAGCTTGTTCAATCATGCGCTCTTGGGTTTTCCTCAGATTCTCCTTCACCTTTTTGATGTCTTCTTGAAACATAATGGCATATTCCTTTGTCCCTGGTGGAAGTCTAAGAAACTGATCCCTGGTTAAAACATCAATGGGACGCTTAGGCTTCCATCCCTTGTGCAGTGCGTTAGGTGTGCGTCCCGTCGCGGTAT